AAAATATTAGAATAAAAAGATAAAATTTATTATAATTAGACATCCTATTATATTATAAATATATAATCTTAATCCTATTTATAATAGGATTACATCAATCTCTCCCACTTGAAAAAATTCGTCCTTCGAGTTTTGTTGAGGAAAAGAATTCTTGATAATTTCTGTATTTTCGAACTTGGCTGAGACTCGAGAAAATTCTCTAGCCACATTTTAATAAGGGGAGGTCGTTTGAAAACAATTTGCCTAACATATCCTTTTGCTATGAGTTTACTATTCTGTCTTTTGAGTGAGCAATCTTAATCCTTGGGAAGTATTCCAATCTTCCAAGGTGCTTAAATTTTAACTCCTTTGGCAAGTTGCTCCTTTAGTTTCCTATTTCCTCCAAGTCATCTCCTGTTACAACAATGTCGTCTTCATAGAGTATGAGGGTCTTAAATCTTTTTCACATGGGTTTCCTTTGATTGTGGTTATACTCCAAAAAAAACCCCAGACCATGCCCTAGGTGTTTGTTCAAGGCATATAGAGATTTTTTATGTTTGTAAACTTTATTCATTTCAAAATTCGTCAACAGTGTGGTAGTTTCATACAGAACTTGATATAATGCTTGAGACGTAGGAATTCATGATCCCAGATCCTGAGGCCCAAAAGGCCCAAGTTCGACTTAGGTTGTTTAGGGGCATCAGGTTTAAGTGATATGTTTGTTACTGTTGGTCATTGAAAGGCTACAAACTCCTTTAGCAACTTTTCCTAATGGATTTCCACTCATCAATTCTTGAATCTCTTTGTTCATTTTTTCCTTCTCCTTTTCCTTAGAACCACCAGAAAAAGCTGAAGGCTCTCGTTTGGGAACCAGCTTAGACTGCAAGTCTGTATTTGTCCAACTATTTTGGTTCATGATCGTTTCCCTTGGTACGAGCGTGCAAGGATTATTCTATGAAGGAATGTACCAACCTAACACCACTGGAGCATTATATGTCGAAAACCTTTGTTTTGCTAATGTCTTTTCTAACATCCTGCCAGTAAAGAAAACCATGCCGGCAAAGGAAAATGTACTCCATTACTAATTATTACCTTATTCATCGAGTAGAGAGAGTGGAATGTGATTCACTCCCAAATACTGTTACTTTTTCAGATACCGGTTTGTTGTTGCTAGAAGTGGTACTTGTTGCTTTATTTCCCGCAAAGGGAATAAAGTAGCCTATGAACTGGCATGTTATGTTTATGTTGAGTTTGGTGATAGAGTCTTGAATGTATTCTGAAGAAAGTTATGGGAAATTCTGTATATTCAGAATATTACAAACATCTTACAACCCTAGCCTCCAAATATATACTAGAGCACTAGATGAAAAAAGGAAACAAATATTCTATCTTAAGAAAGGAAAAATACTTCCTAAATCAACTCTAATTACAATATTCCCATATTAATTAAAGAACGTGATTTCCTACACTCTCCCTCAAGTT